GGCCAAGGGAGGCCGCTCGGGTTTTAACAACATGGCCACTTGGGGGCAGCCATGAGTCAGTTTACCAGAATCCAATTCGTTGGCCCGTTTTCAGCTTGATGCTTCACTGTATTTATTTGTTTTGCTTAACCATCCGGTCTTAATTACCTGGCTTTTGTTTTGTCTTCACAACAGCATTTTGGGAGAATGTTGAATGCAAAGGAGCTGAGTCAGCTGTCTGCTGTTGAGCTGGAGACAGAGGGGGAGATTGATTATAAATGGCCCCCAACCTTGACAAAAGTCTCAAGAAATGTGGAGAAGCCCCTGAAAAAAACTGAGATTAAGCTTCTTTCACCCTAGCAGAAAAAAAGCAGGAAGTTAGGAATCAAGCTGCCAAATAAGGAATTTGTATTTATTGCATGCTTGGGTTTTGGATTAAGAGTTTACCCCTAGCCGAGTCTCATACCCTTTCTTTCCCTGTCCTGCAAAGCTTAACATGGGAGGCAGAGATTTGTGTCTCTTCTTCTTCTTCTCGCTCACTCTTTTTTTTTTTTTTTTTTCTTTCCCAGTCAGGCACTCTCTGTACCCATGCCACCCTGAGGAAGACAAAATATGAGAGGGTCTAGCAAAGCCTCTGCAAAAATGATTAATGTGAATATTCCCATTCTGACTTCCTATGAAAAGTTGTATTATAAAATAAAAGAATAATTGAAGAAAATACAGATCCATAAAAATCCATAAAGATGGGCAGGAAAAATTAAGAGTTCTATGGGGCTTTTAATAGGTCAAGACCCAGAGGGCAGAGATCATCTGGCAGGCTGGAAACTGGCTAGGTATCTAGAATGGCTTGTGTACTGGGGTGAAGTGAGAAATTGAAGCAGAGCAGGAGAAGGATGTGAAAGATATTTTTCTATGTATTAAGAGTGCACCGGCTGGATGTGGTGGCTCACGCCTGTAATCCCAACATTTTTGGGAGGCTGAGGCAGGTGGATTGCTTGGGCACAGGAGTTTGAGACCAGCCTGGGCAACATGGTAGAATCCCATCTCTACCAAAAATACAAAAATTAGCCAGGTGTGATGGTGCCAGCCTGTAGTCCCAGTTACTCGGGAGGCTGGGGTGGGAGGATCACTTGAGCTTGGGAGGTGGAGGTTACAGTGAGTCAAGATCAAGTGAGCCAAGATCACACCACTGCACTGCAGCCTAGGTGACAGGGTAAGACCCTATCTCAAAAAAATAAAAATAAAAATGTAAAAATAAAAGAGTGTATCTCTGCCCACATCCCTTAACTTTGGTATTTCCTCCTGAGATTGAGAAAATATTCGAAATACTCCTTTATTTTGATCATTGTTCTGTTTCTCTCAATGTGACTGGCTAGTTTCAGCCTAATAAGGCTTCTCCTGTTTTCGTAGGTTTACCTCTCTCTTCCGTAAACAAGGGCTTCCACTAAAGCCTGGTCATCACTGGGAGTTGGGGAGCTGGGCTTAGTCATTCTTTGCTGTAATAATTTTAACCGTGGCCAAGTTCCTGGAGGGCAGCAAAGGTAGGTTGGGATTCTTGATGTACTCTTGGACCCAGTCATCACTGGGGTTGGTGCAGACTTCTCGGTTCCTTTTGGTGATGAAGCTGCAGAGGCAGAATTAGACCGTCATGGGCTGCAGACTCAGGCAGGGGTCCAGTGCACAACCCCACCTCTGGTTCACATGGAGCTCACCTTATGTTCTTTAAAGCTTCCCTGGGCCTCTCCTCGCTGGGTTCCCTCAGACAGCCTCTCCCTCTGGCCTCAGAACCTTACCATCCCTTCTCTCAGTCCCTTCTCTGCTCAGCCTAGACCCTCAAGTTTGGGTTTCATAATGGACCACATAGCTAAAAGTGGCAAAATTAGGAATTAATCCCAGGCCCGTGAGAGCCAAAGGCCAAACCCGTAGCCACTACTCCACTGCTTCTAGCATAGAGACCTCTTGGTCCCATGTATCTCATTCCTGCCCCTGGGCTCCCTGTCCCCCTCCACAGAAATATCTACAAGGATGTGCTTACATGATTGCTGGCAGGTTACAGTTGAGGGCCTTTCTGTATCCCACCACCAGTCTCCTTGGCAACACTTTCTCATAAAACTTCAGGCAGCAGGTGGATGGGGTGTTCACCCACTCAGGAACTTCTGAAGGAATCACATTGCAAGCTGAGCCAGGGAAGCAGAGGGGAGACCACCACTGCCCACCTCTGTCTCCTACCATTTGTGTTTCACTGCTCTGATAGCAAAGCCGTCTGTTAGAGGAGACCAATGCTAGCTTGACAGGTAATGGAGAAAGGGCAAATGATGAATCCCTCTGGGGGACATACATTTAAAACCCTCAGCCTCTGAGCTGAGTGTCAACTACAAATGACTTGGTTATTCACACTTGCCAAGGAACCGGGAGGAAGCTGGCTCACTCTTTTGTTTATTGGTGACTTGATCTGGCAAACATGGGTTGAGCTAGTGTGCCGGGCTCTGTGGGGGTAAAAACATGAGGAGGATACAGTCACTACCCTTAAGTAACTTACAGAGTAGTCAGGGTTGAAAGGGAAATTGAAAAGTTAAACAAACACTGCCATAGAATGTGGTCCAGGATAGAACAGACTTTGGTATAAGGTGCTATGGGAACACAATGAGGGGCCCCTAACCCATCCTCGGTGGTTGAGGACGAAGTCTCAAAGCAAGTGAGGCCTGCATTGATTCGTAAAGGATGAACAGGATTTAGACACACAGCTGGGTGTTGTGGCTCAGGCCTGTAATCCCAGCACTTTGGGAGGCCGAGGCGGGCAAATCATCTGAGGTCAGAAGTTTGAGACCAGCTTGGCCAACATAGTGAAACCCTGTCTCTACTAACAAAAATTAGCCGGGCATGGTGGCGCATGCCTGTAATCCCAGCTACTCAGGAGGCTGAGGCAGGAGAATCACTTAAACCCGGGAGTCAGAGGTTGCAGTGAGCCAAGATCGCGCCACTGCACTTCAGCCTGGACGAAGGAGTGACTCTATCTCAAAAGGAAAAAAAAAGGATTTAGACACACAAAGGACTTGTAGAATCTGGAAGAAAGAAATGCAGGAAAACTTGAAGGTAGGGGAAGCTCAGTGTGTCTTGGGAGTGCTGGGCAGTTTGGGTGGCTGGCATGTAAGGTAGGAAGGAATGAATGGGAAGAGATGAAACTGGAGAGAGAGGAGGGTCTGTTCACACACCTGCTGAACTGCTGAGTAATTTGGACTCTATCTTAGGGCACTGGAGAGGCGGAGGTTATGGGGAAGGGTGAGAGAGTAGAGCCGTTAGAGACAGAAGTTAGAGCAGGAGGAAAAAGTACATGATTTAGGCTATGGTGTCAGACAGATTGGGCTGGAATTTTGACTTGACTGGAATTTTGACTTGAATCATGGGCAAATTTCCTAATCTCCCTAGGTTTCAGTTTCCTCATTCATTAAGTGGGGGTAAATGATACTTACTTGTACCCTAGGATCGTGATTAGAATTCGGTGAGAAAATGATTGGAAAGCCCTTAACTCAGAGTCTGGCACACAGAAAGGCTCAATCAGTGCTTATTATAGTTAAGAGCCAACGGTAGTAATGACCGCCCTTCTTGCCTTGGAAATGGCTCTTTCCTCCCGTCTCTTTGATGCATGCAGGCTACTGGACTTGACTGGTTATTGTTGCTGTGTTTTCTTTGAGCTGTCCTGACTACGCATCAATTGGGGATACTACACAAGAGGTCAGTCCAGAGATCTCTCCCAGCTCCCAAACCTTCAGAGTGCAAATCTTTTTGTAGCTTGACCCCTTTGCCTCTAGAGAGTGGCAAAGCTTGGGACATCTTGAGAGCACCATCTTGCTGATCCATGTTTTGGGTGGGCCATTCTGTCTTTCTTGAAGCCTGAACCCGCTGCACTGGCCTGATTGACTCTCCCAAAGAGCATTGTCTCCCCCTCCCACACAGTCCCTCCATAAGTGATGCTCATATCACTGGTTCTCAAAGCAAAGTTTACAAAGACCAGGGTCATCCTGAGAGTATGTGGGCAGATTACATGGTGCACCTGACCCTTGTTCCTTTGTGTTTATACAGGCAGAGTCAGGCCAGACTACATGCCAGGGTGACCTTAAGAGAGAAAAGAGACCAGGCGTGGTGGCTCACGCCTGTAATCCTAGCACTTTGGGAGGCCGAGGCGGGGGGATCATGAGGTCAGGAGTTTAAGACCAGCCTGACCAACATGGTGAAACCCCGTCTCTGCTAAAAATACAGAAGTTAGCTGGGTGTAGTGGCGTGTGCCTGTAATCCCAGCTACTCAGGAGGCCGAGGCAGGAGAATCACTTGAACCCGGGAGGTGGAGATTGTGGTGAACCAAGATCACGCCACTGCACTCCAGCCTGGGCAACAGGAGCGAAACTCCATCACAAACAAAACAAAACAAAACAAAATAAAACAAGCAAAAAACAAAAACAAAACAAAGCAAAATAAAAAAACAAGAGAGAAAAGAATGGCTGGGGCAGCCTAGGGCAGGTGGTACACAGCTTTGTCCCCCCCCCACGCCCGTCACCAGGTCCTCATAAGCGATGACAGAGGGAGGAGATACGGAAGGACAAAACAAACCCCATCCTCCATAGGCCGCAATTCTCCTTCTCCCCACAGCTGAAAAACCTTTCAACCCCTTTCCTCTTTTCTGCAGATGTTATTTAGTCATAGACTGGGGGATGGAGAAGGGGACCATAGATTCCCAAACAGCCATTCCTCTGGGACTCATTTTGGTTGTCTGATAGTTCCAGCAACCTGTGCCAGCCACTTTGAGAAAGTGGTGTCTCGGTTAAGACTCCCAATTCCTGGGCTTAGACCCACATGATTGTTTGAACCTTCCTTCCTCTCGAAACTCGTTCTTCCAGGGCACCTACCGCTTTTCTTTCTCATCTGTGTGCTTCCCCCTCCCTTTCATTGCATGCAATTCTTGTTGCATTTTCTGCAGCTTTCTTGGCCTCTCCTCCTGAGTGATCATTCCTGCTCACCACGCTTGGGACTCCTGAGGAAATGGTGACCCAGTTTCCTGGAACTACTTACCCCAGAAAGATCTGGACCAACCCCAGTTCTACTTACAAAGGGGAGAATTGGAGGTCAGGAGCTAGGCATGAAGGTGGGGAGAGCCCACAGAGGCTTATGAGGCCAGAGACCCAACAGCGCCCTTGGCACCACCTCCCTGCCAGCTGCTCCATCCCCTTTTCTCGTTCCTGCCCTACAGAGACAAGTGGACTCACTTGGCTGGCTGCAAGAAGCAGAAGTAATGATAAGGATGAGGAGGAGGAGAGACAGGGCAGCCTCGGAGACCTTCATCCTTTCAGCGGGGCCGTACAGCTTCAGGGAGAGCCGAGTGAAGATGTCGTCTGCTGCTGGTGGTCCGCTTGCCAACTATTCAGCTCTCTGGACCTTGACCACATCAGAGCGGGTAGAGGAGGAGAAACAACAGGCCTCAGTGTTTGCTGAAACAGAGGGCAGCGGAGGATGGGACTTGGTGCAGAGCTGAAACAGTAGAATTTGAATTCACATGAAGGAATGTGTGTCAGCTACCTTACATGCCCTATCTGATATAATCCTTAAAATAGTGAAGTAGCGATGATGACTTCCCTGGGACTACTGAGGCTTAGAGGCTAAATAAATTGTCCAAGTCCACCTGGGTGGACAGGCAGGATGAAAAACCAGATCTGTTTGATTTCACCATGTTACCTGCCGCCATCTGTATGTTGGGGAAGGGGCAGGCAGGGTTGAACCACTCCAGCTTCCCCCAGGTGATCAGTCTTGGGGAGAATGAGCACAAAGCAGGATTACAGAGCCCAGACTGAGGCAAGGGTAGGGCTTAGTTGCCTCTGAGAAGGATATGCCCCCTCCCAGTCCAAGGCCACATGATTGACCTCACACTTTTTCATGTCACAGCTTATGCTAATACTCCAAAAAAAAACCAGTGTGCCTGATCCTTGGGTCCCCATTTGTTGCTGGACCATTTGACTTATTTGTCAGTGTTTTTATTTATCTCTTTGGACCTTGGACTTTGGACCGGTTTTTAGGTGTAGCTAGCCCGCTGATCCCTCCTGGGTGCCCCCGTGGCCAACCATGACCAGCAGGGGACGCTCAACTCTGCACCTGACAACCTGCATCTGTGCTCTAGGGCTCCAGCTTCAGCCCCTCTGGCCTGGGCTCTGGCTGGACCTGCCCCACAGCCTCCTCTCTCTTCAGGTGCCTCCGGACCCTTTTCCACCCTGAAGGCTGTTAGTAAAACAATATAGTATAATCTGGTGTATGTAAGCGAAGGGGAGAGATTAGGTCAAATGTCTTCATGAATCACTCCTATTCCAGACAGCAGTGAAGAAAGACCTTGGAAACAGCGTGGAAAAAAGGACTATGGAGTTTGACTGCTATAGAGAACCCTTTATGAAGTGTTACCTATAAAATCAAATGACGATTCTTAGCTTTTACACTTGTCATGAAGCTTAAATAAGATAATGCATACAGACTGCCTAGCAGAGTGCTTGCAGTAGAGAAAGCATTAAGAAAACGGGGTCTGGTATTGTTGTTGAGGAGGAGACAGTCTTTACGCTGCTTTTCTTTCTCACTTTCTGCTTCTCACTACCCGCATTGCAGGCTTGACCTATCTTTTTGTACCAGGCTCCAGTGAAACTTCTGCAGAGTGAGGCTTGATGCCGAGGGTGCCACACCCGGTCTGGACTCCCTGGTGTCCTCAGTGCGTGACCAATGAGTAAATCCAGTAGAAAGGAATGAGGCCAGGGAAGGGCATAACTGGTCTTTAATTCACGGCAGGGAAGCTCCCAGAGGGTGGCTGGGGCTGAGAGTTAGGAGTGGGTGGAGGAAGGGGGCCTCGGCATCTTCCCTTTAGGTCTCTGAGCTGTGCCTTCTCCACCCTCTCTGGGTCACTCATTTCTCCTCCATGTGCTTGATATAGTCCTGGACCCACTTGTCCCTGGGGTTGGTGCAGATGGAATGGCCCCTTTTGGTGATGAAGCTGTGGAGCAAGAGGGAGAAGGATCACAAACCAAGGGGCCCAGTGGCCGGAAGAGAGAGCCCATCCTCCCTGCCTCCTAAATTCCCCACCTGACCTAGACTGCTTCTCCTTTCTTCGGTAGAGGCCGCTTAGAGCCTGTCTCCTCTCTGAGACATGCTCTTCGGTCCCTAGGACCCCTAGACCCATCTAGTCTCTGTGTCCCCCCGAGGAAGTGCCCTCTTGCCTTCTTCTCCCTTTTCTGTCACCTCCCCCGATCCATGGGGTCAGCTTCCCCATGGCTCCTGCAGGCTCCAGCCAGAAAGCACCCGGGTTGCCTGTCAGCTGCGTCTTCCCGTGTAGTCACACCTGGGAGGTACACTGGGGATCCTCATTCCACGACCACTCCCTGCCTCCCTCGAGGAGGCCCTGCTGGCTTCCTCTCCTCACAGTGTGATGTGTATGTGCCACCTACACAATTCCGGGCTTGGAACACTGGCTGTTGGTCTCATAATAATCCATAATCCGCTGACGCGGGATCTTGTGGGTAGTGTAGGTGAGGCAGCACTCTGACGGTGGTAAGGTCCCCCTGAGGAGAGAGCATTGGATGCTGGGGAGGGGCCCTATGTTAAAGGCCATGCCATTGGCTGGTCCTGCAAGCCGAGGGCGTGGAGGAGGGCAGGAAGGAGGAGACAGCCCCGCAGAACTTGGAGGGGAGAGTAGGCTTTTCTCATCTTCTCTTCTCCTTCTCTGTAGTACTCCCGGGCTCCTCTTTTCCTCCTCCCTCATCAGCAATCACCCTCCCTCCTTTTCTTCAACCCCTCTTGGAAAGACTGGTGGATGACTTTCAACTCCGGGGTTGAAGAGCAGCACGCTCAGATCTTCTCACAGCATCTCTGGGGGCCGTCTGGCAGAGAAGGTTAGGGACTTGGCCAATATCATGCAGTCCTCATGCCTTATTTGGGAAAGATGCTCCAAATAGGAGGAATATTTGGAAGAAATCCCAACAGGGATTTGGGGACATGCCATTTGGGAATGCAGACCCACGCTTCCTAGTGCTCCACCCTGCCCATGTCCCCACTGAACCAACAACCTGCAGAGAGAGCAGGATGCCCACAGCAAGCCCCAAGGACAATGGCCATAGAGTTAGGACACCCAAATCCTAACCTAACCTTGCCTGTGCGTCCTTTGTACTGTGGCCATTTTACTTTCCCCCGTTCCCTCCTCTGTAAATGAGGCCCTTGGACTGGATCAGTGGTTTTTACACTGAGCTCCCTGGAGCTCTGGGGGCCTCAGGGACTATTGTGGAGGCCCCGCTGCATTTAAGAGTGTGTCTTGTACCCTACTCAACCCATTTTTTTTGGTTTGTTTTACATATTGGGCCTCTGTGGAAGATTTTGCTTGAAGAAAAGGTTTTCTGCTCTAAAAAGTTTTAAAAATCACCGGATTAGGTGATTTTTCATCTATTTTCTGATTGAGAAGTTTCATGGCTCTTATAGTAGAAGCAAGGAGGTGACAGCAGTCACCCCAAGCTTGAATTATAGAGGTAGCAGGAAGGACATTGCAGGCCAAGAGCACTGTACAAACAGGCGCATGTTGTGGTTATGGAGTGGAGAAATCAGGTGTGGGCATGTTATGTGACCCTGCTGAATGGAAACGTGGGTGTGCATTGCAATGGCCTCAGAGGTCACTGAGGGTGGCCAGATGCCTGGGTGGAAAGGGCTGGTCCTGTTTTCCAGCTCCATTCCAGGCAGCATCCTCACTATCCAAAGAACGGCATAATGGGGCTCCTGTTTCCTGAGACCCACTCAGAGCTCCTATACTTTCCCACCTTGTTCCTCTGAGCTGAAAAATGACATCGGAGAGGGCAAGTCAAACTGTGCACATACCCACCAACTTTAGCTGTATTTTAACAACCTTCTGTTTCCCCCCAGTTTCTGAAAAGAAGAATAGGTAAAATGAAAGAGTGATAAATAGTTTTGGTTGTCTCTAAAGGCAGCTTATTCTAAGAAATCAGCTGAGAAAAGGGGGCCTAGGAGGGACCCCACACTGTCATGTTTCCCCCCAGCCCATACCCAAGCAATGCTGCACTCACTGGGCATAGGTGACGCTGGAAGCAGCTGGGCCTAAACCTCAGGAGGCCAATAGAAAAATGCCCTTGAGAGGCTCAAGACACTGCTTCTAATCTCCCTGAGGAAATATCCCCCACATGGGGTGGGCCACTCTTGCTTAGTGGCAAAGACAGAGAAATTGAGGGAGTAGAGAGGCAGGCTGGCCTCATTCCATGTCCTTGAGGGCAAGGGGGGACTGGTCCTGGGGGCCAGTGATAAGAGATCAAG